TAGAAGCAAATTGCTAAAAATACATGTGTAATTGGAAGCTTATAAAAATCTGATACTTGTATCTTTCAGCAGTGTATCAAAACATCATGAATGCAATATAGTAATTTAAGACCAAAAATGATTATTTTGTTTTTAGCAGTATAATAATTTGTATCTTATGAGAAATAAGATATGTTATATGATTATCTGCCCCTGGCAGTTTAAGGTTAGCCAATCAGCTCACGGATGCTGATTGGCAAACGTTTCTACCTTTTTTGAACAACTCTTTACTTTTCGTACAACCTTTGGAATGTTCACATGCTGAATGCGTCATCTGTACACCCTCATTACCACAGAGTCCGTAGATAAGGTGAGAACATCCACTCACTCTCAGCAGGTAAGTTTCGTCACAGACATCATTAAGTTTGCAAAGATCCAATTGTAATGTTTTTAGCTGTCCGCTACCACTTTTTCATCAATGTCGATTTTCGTGCAAAAAAGCAGATCACATCTTCATACGTGTTTATGAAAACCTTAACTTCTCATTGGACAATAAATATTAAAAATATCTCGTGTATCTTCACGTACATTGTTCTCAATAAGCAAAACAAAACATATCAGGCTCCAGACTGAGTTTTGTAAGGCGCTTTCTGAGTGGTTAACAAATATTAAAAAAAAACAATTTACCTGCTTGTAGTGGTTTTGACGGAATAAATCAACCCAAAATTTTTTTACTTTACGAATGTGGTTAAAATAAAAAAGGGGAACAAGAGAAAATACAAGAAAATAACTTTTCTTAATCAGGAACAATATTTATATTTATAAATGACAACTGTTTTAAAGAATGATAATAACGAGTTACTTCCCTTTGACTGGGTTCGTTTTTGTTATAAAAAAAAATTTTTTTTATCCGAGATGCGCTCGTGTAACAAAGTTCAAAATTAGTTCCTGAAAGAGAATCTTATAAAGCTCAAAATTGTTTGAAACAATTTAGCTTTTAAGAAGTTGGTCAAAAAATGTTCCGTTTGTTTCAGTTCAGACATAATTGTTTTAAATGGTATTAATTTAATTTGATTCATCGGAAAGTCAGAATTCAATAACGTAATTGAATAAGAATTTTAACTTTGTGATCCGTTCTTGCACAGATTTCGTGTCGAAATTGAAACTATTTTCATAAAATTTCATGTAATTGAAAACTTTTCTACCCAAAATAGTAGCAAAATGCTAAATACATGTATTGTTGAAGTCGTTTAAAAAATTTGATAAATTCTCATATTTCAGCAGTGTATCAAAACCTTTTTTTTTTAACCACGCATTCCGAAGGCATTTTTTTTTCGTCAGTCAAAACTCTGTTGACGTTGTTCGGACGTAGTGGTGAGCAGGTATTTTTTATATTTGTTAAAACGTTAACTTCTCATTGGACAATAAATATTAAAATTATCTCGTGATATCTTTTTGTGTACATTGTTCTCGATCACGTAAAACAAAACAATATCATTATCCAATGACTGAGTTTTGGTTTTCAGAAACATTTATGAACATGTGATCCGTTTTGCACGAAAAATATTAAAAAAAAAGTGAAAACAAATTACCTGTTCACCACTACGTCCGAATAACATCAACCTAGTTTTTGATCTGACGAAAAACAATGCTTCAGGACCCAATCACGTGATTAAAAACATATAAATTGAAGGTACGAGTGAACCTAGTCAGTGAGAATTTACGACGACTAGAATTTGCTAAACGAGTTCACGACGCTTGTATCATTATTGCAGCGAAGTACAAAGTTAGAATCTCAAGTTATTTAACACGAAATAACTTCACAGAAATTCAAACTACAATTTCAACCAAACAACTCACCAACTTCTGTAACTTACTAAAACTTATTCAATTACTTTATTGAATCTTACGAAGTACAAACACTTACGAATAATACTTTCAGCTACGATCAACGAAAACAAATTAGACATTAAGGAACATTCACTTCTCCAAATTTCTGTGAAGCTAAAAGTTTATCAACATATTTTCAGCTTTACAAGATTCTTTAAACTCTCTTTCAGTGAACATTTTGAGCGACAAGATAATTCAATTTTTTGTGAGCTCGGGTAAAAAAATGTTTTAGTAGAAAAACTTTAGCCCAGTCAAAGGACAGTTAAAATCATATTAATAGTTATTTTCTTGTAAAACTTTTGTTGTCATTTATAAATATTATAAACGTTGTTCACCTGTTCTGAAAAATATAGTCATTTTCTTTTGTTTTTAACGATCTTTTTGTATCTTATGAGTTTGTTTTTGTTTTAAGGTTTAATCACATTCGTAAAGTTTTCTAAAAAAATGTCAGGGTTGATTTATGCCGTCAATACCACTACATGTTGATTAATATAATTTGTACATCACTACCTCTGCATCCATTTTGTAGAAATTTTATTTGTTCAAATCCCGACAATTGTATTTTTCTTTTATTTATTTTCATTTTTTAGTTTCATCAGCTAAAAATTGATTCTTGATATGACGAAAAATGGATAAGAAATAATTGCAGAACGTTGGATTTAATTATATAAAGTTTATATAATTTAACAGGTAAAGAATATTTAGTATTTTACCATCTGTTACTAAATTTACATATTTAGTCATTATTATTCTAATTCACAGCTTTTGAACATTTCAGACACAAGTGCATAACATCCAATAAACATTGAACATAATTAAAAGATTTCAACTCCGGCTTGACAAGCGTCACTCATTTTTATTCTTCCTTGAGAAAAAAAAAATCCAAGGTAAACAACTCTTCTATTTGTGGAAAGAGTTATTTCCCTTGCCCGAATAAAACATGGATTGAGATTTGCGAGATGTAAATTCTATAGATTGCGTCAACACACACACACACACACAGACACACACACACATACACACATACACACATTTTAAACAATTTAAATGCTTTTCTTGGAAATTAAATTTTAGTTTTATTTCCGTAAAAAAGAATTTAAACTGGTTCTTAGACATTTTTTTAAATATTGATATGGTCACTAATCAAACCTCCATTAATCAAAAAGAAAATGAAGATAAATTTAAAAATCTCTTAAAAATCCAATATTTGTCCTGGAGAACAGTTTCAAAGTAATTAATCCTTAAATTTACTAATTTATCTGAATTTTATAAAAATAATACTTTTTTCCTTTAAACATAGTGAAAATAGTGGTTATTTACACATGGTAAGTCGTGAGCAGTTATTAAATTTAACAACAGTAGTTTTCTACTGTCAATCCCACTTTTAAATAAAGGCACCTAAAAGCTATAGTTGTTTTTGTTCTCTGTACCTTAATTTAGAAACTGTTATTAATTTATTTTTTAAACATAAATATCTTATACTGCATATGAACAATAGTTTATGAAACTTAAAAATTTATTTTATTTTTTGTACTCCTATTGTAGTATGAAAAATAGTTAAAATAAAAACAATTTAACTCCTGTTCATATTTGAAAATGGCATTAAACTATACCTTTTTTTAATTCTTCATTTAATTAAAACATCTTGTTATCAACCATTCGCCCTTGCATGGAGTATTGCTGCCATATATGGTCTGGAGCCCCTTCTGTTTGTCTCGGGGTTCTTGAGAGACGGATATGCAATGTAATCGGCCCTGATCTGGCATCTCGTCCACAGTCGCTCTCTCACAGACGTGCCGTCGCCTCTCTCTGTCTTTTTTACAAATACTTTTTATGGTAATTGCTCCGAGGAGCTGCATTCGCTGGTTCCCAGACTTCATAAATTCAAGCGCCCTACGAGGCTGGCATCCCGCTCTCACCCTTTCACTGTCGAAACTATTAAATGTAGCCGTCTCTTCTACTCCAATAGCTTCATGTCTCGCACCACTCGCCTGTGGAACTCCCTTCCCTTTTCCTGTTTCCCTGAGAGCTATAATCTCCAACTATTCAAATGTAATGTCAATCGACATCTCCAGTTGCCTTGATCTATCCACTACCCTTCTCCTCAAACTTTCCTCTATCACTCCTATCTGATCTCCAAATCTTCTGTAACCCCTTGCGTACTAGTGGCTTCCCGCCTTGCTTGGGGGGAAACGCTTTAAAAAATATATCCTGAGTTTGTAGATAGAATAATTTAATTTGATTTGCTGGGCTTTTAAGAGTGGCCCACTCTTCTATTTTGAAATACATTTCTCTTTGTCATTTATTTTCCTAATTGATATATATATATATATATATATATATATACATATATATATATATATATATATATATATATATATATATATATATATATATATATATAAAAAATAAAAAGTCTTAAACACTAATATTCCATGGTCATAATTTATTCCATTGAAATCGTAAATACGATCCAATTCATCAGACCTACAAATTCAAAAAGAAAACAGAAAAAACAACTCAGGAAATAAAAACAGAATTTAAAGAGAGTCTAGAGAAGGAGGGAGATTAAACCTTAACAGAGAGAATTTTAGGAGATGTGAGTGGAAGGGGTTTAAGTAAGAGAAATATGAATGTTGTCGGATGTCTAATGCATAAAGATACATTTCGTGGTGACATACACACACCATAGACGATTTAAAGTTGAAGATCAGAATAAGATATATATATATATATATATCATTTCTCCTATGCAATCATGCAATCGGAACATCGATGGGCTGATCATGTTGTCAGAATGAACGCGAATATGATAGCCAACTTTCTCGTGTCCACGTAATATGATTTTCGAAAGCAGAACTTCGTCAGGCAGTGGGTGAGTTGTAAAGATAAGGCGAAGAGCAGACATGCAGCTGTCAGTAGAGCTTTGATCAATATTCGAGGTACTAACCCAGAGTAGACAGGAAGGGACAATCAGGTGTCAAAAGGGTATAAAGATCTACGAAATGGGCCGGATTACGCGGCTACGAGAAGCAAGATCGACGAATAAGACATCATCAGTCAGATCATGTCTTTAAATGCCAAACCAATTATAAAGACACGAAGTGATCATTTTGTTGGACACTCATATGTTAAGATCGAAGGGAGAATCCGTTACAGATAGATAGATAGATAGATAGATAGATAGATAGATATGCATATATGGTAAAGGCAAGGGTTATGCCAGCATTCACGAACTTAAACAAGGAGACCGTCCAGAATAGTTGCAGGAGATTACCAAGTCATCCTGAGGCCATGATTGAAGACAATGTCGTTTTTATTGAATAAATTTAATCTATTGCCTTTTTGATGAATATATCTGTTTGAATGAGATGCCATTTTTTATTTTCCTTTTTACGTAATTTAAACTGCAATTTATATATATATATATATATATATATATATATATATATATATATATGTCATGGGTCCTTACCTATAACTACAGAATGGACTCTTCCTAACACTATGTATACTACGCCTCTCAAGAGAAAGGGTCGAATCTTTTCGACTTGACGGTCGAACTCTCTGCTTTTGAGCAGAAAGGAACCCGGACGAGGTTCCGCCGAAGGGCAGAATCTCGTTCGGGGTGAATGACCTACCCGATCTCGTTTTTTACGAGTTATACGGGCATATTTTTGGCTGAGCCTACGGGCTCAGGAAACCCACGATAAAATGACCTTGTGTCGCATGCAACCCTCGTGGGGGGTGGCTAGATACTGAATCAAGCCGAGCTTCTCGACTTGACGGTCGAACTCTCTGTTTTTGAGCAGAAAGCAACCCGGACGAGGTTCCGCCGAAGGGCAGAATCTTGTTCGGGGTGAATGACCTACCCTATCTCGTTATTACGAGTTATACGGGCATATTTTTGGCTGAGCCTAAGTGCTCAGGAAACCCACGATAAAAATGACCTTGTGTCGCATGCAACCCTCGTGGGGGGTGGGGCTAGATACCGAATCAAGCCGAGCTTCTCGACTTGACGGTCGAACTCTCTGCCTCTGAGCAGAAAGGAACCCGGACGAGGCTCCACCGAAAGGCAGAGTCTCGTTCGGGCATGTTGACCAACCCGATCCCGTTTATACGGGTTCTACGGCCATTTTTGGGCCGAGCCTACGGGCTCGTAAAACCCACGTTAAACTCGGCCTTGTGCCACATGCAACCCTCGTGGGGGGGTAGATACCGAATCGAGTCGAAAAAAATATAGTAGTAGTTCACTCTAAACCAGACTGACAGTCATACTAACACCTTCCACATCTTGTATTATTATTTCGTGTCATATACCTTCGTTATTTCTACTCTTGTGTTGTTCTTCCTTGGTCCTAACCTGGACCATTACAATATATATATATATATATATAGATACATATAAAGAGAGAGAGAGAGAGAGAGAGAGAGAGTAATAGAATTACTACATATAGTGCAGGTGTTAACGAAACAGTGCTCAATGTAATGAAACAAAGCAATATATATATATATATATATATATATATATATATGTGTGTGTGTGTGTGTGTGTGTGTGTGTGTGTAAGCAGTTGCCGTTAGAATCAAAAGAAAAAGCAGAAGAAAGACTCACATTGCTACCCATAATGCAATATAGACGATCATTATCCAACCCATATGACCAGAACATCGTATTCAAAGATTACCATTCAGTATTGATTTATTTGTCTATTTCAGTCTGTTTAACTGGCTTCCCTCCCTCATCTTATACCCTCTCTGTCTGTCTTTCTGTCGTTTTCTATCCTCTCTCTAGAGATACGTGTGTGTGTGTGTGTGTGTGTGTGTGTGTGTGTGTGTGTGTGTGTGTGAATGCTTGTATCTCTATATATGTTTGTGTACATATATATATATATATATATAATATATATATATATATATATATTCATATATTTATATATATATATATTTAAATATATTCATATATATATATATATATTTATATATATATATATTCATATATATATATAGAGAGAAAAAGATTGAGCGAGACGGTAAGACAGAAAGAGTTATATGTCTGTGAATCTCTATCTATAAAAGCAGGATGTGTGTGTGTGTGTGTGTGTGTGTGTGTGTGTGTGTGTGTGTGTGTGTGTGTGTGTGTGTGTGTGTGTGTGTGTGTGTGTGTGTGTGTGTGTGTGTAACGAATGCACGGCCGCAATTTCCGACGGATTTGCACCAAAATTTACATGCACATGCTCCAAGTTAGTGGGAAGGCCAAGGCCGACTTTGCATTTCCCAACTCCCATCGATAGTGGAAATGATTGATTTTTTTTTTTTCGGCAGTTTTCATGTAGTTTGCGGCCATTTTATACTAGCCAGAGTGAGAGCCAATAGCTGGCTGCCACGAATATGTAAAAAAAAAGAAAAATCGATAGCTGCATTCGTCACAAGTGGGAAAAATTTAAATCTGCATGGCACTTTACTCCATTTGGCTCATTCGCTTGCTTAAACTCAACGTTGATTCTGATTCCGCAGAACTGGGTTGGTGTGAGAAAGTATTTGTTGTTAACATACTTTTTTCATTCGGTTTTTCCAGTTACGAGTCCTTTTTTAAGCTGATCGTTTTGTGTTCATTTTGTTTAGTTCTTTTTTCGTAACAGATTTAATGTTTAGTATAGAGCTTAGAAAAAATTCGCAGTGTGAGATAGGCACGAAGTAAGGCATGTAGCAATATCAGCACAGCAAAGGGCACTCGTTTAAAAGCAAGGAAGGGCAAAAATATTTTAAGTCAAGTGATAGTAATTGCTGTATGAGTCATGCGATTTTTGAATCAAGCACGGGCAACGCCGGGCCATGCTGCTAGTGTATGAATATATGTTTTTGTTTCTTTACGTATGTATGTTTGTGTGTGAGTCAATACTTTAAAAATAAATAAATCCTTAACACAAAAGAAAAATACAAATGTTTTAAAATCATATCTATATAACTATCTCACTCTTATATATATATATATATATATATATATATATATATATATATATATATATATATATATATAACGTTGTCTGTTAACCGCTATTCTGATTGGATATTGCCAGCGATCAATTTTATGAAACCTGGAAACCTAACAACGAAAATTAAACAATAAAAATGTCGGTCTTGCCGCTGATGTGTTTGTCAGGCTTTCTGATCAGTTAGTATTTCATACCCCGAATGTAAAGTAGTGAAAGTTAAATGCACCATATTTCAAAGAGGAAATATAATATTGTTGAAAATTAAAATAATAAAAATTGTTATATCAGGTCATCCCATAAGTTCTGTCCGAATTTTGAATAGAGAAAAAAGTGACCAAATGTTACATTTAATTACAGATTCAATCAACAATGTATTTCCCTGGTTATCTATGACATCCTTCCATCTATTAACAAGCTTATTAATTCCATTACTGTAAAATTCTTTTGGCTTTGATTCGAAGAACTCACAAATGTCAGTTTTAACCTCTTCCTGTGTTACAAAAGCTGTTTCTTCCAAATGATTCTGTAAGCTACGAAACAAATGGTAGTCTGAAGGAGCAAGATCGGGAGAATAAGGTGGATGAGGAATTTTCTCCCAACCAAGTTCTTCTCAATTGGACGTCCGGATGGTTGGTACCGGGAAGAGAGGGAGGAATCAAGAGATTCAACCAGAGACTCTCCCCGACTGCGACTCAGTCAACACATTCTCCAGGAACGGTCTTACCAGGAATATACAAAAGACTTTATGTAAATATTGTGTACACTTTCTTGTTTCAATACATTTTGTTCTAAGTACATTTTGTGTTGCATTATTATTCCATGCATTAGTCAAGTTTCAACAATTACTTTGCCCATATATGGTCTTCCGGTGACACATCCTCGTTTTCGAAAAAGATGGTTCCAGTGAGTTCCAAAGTGTACGGCTGTTATCGGCAGGAAACTTTAGAAGCGTGTGTAATAGACAGAATTAGATCGACGTCACAATGCCTTCCTCCTTCAACTCATTGATACGTCAAACAGCTAGAGGACGGACGTCGTCATGACAACTGATTTGTAACAAAAGTCGAAGCTGTGTTTCGTTCAAGAAGAATGCAATTTGCAGCAAGCTTAAATTTCTTTGTAATAAAAACGGCATAGTGTGCCGAAAATTTTAAAGTGTTAACTGAAATTTATAACCCATTTTCAAGACGCCTAGTGGTCGTTTAAAAATGTTATTAAATTAGTAAGTTATAAATAAGATGATAATATCCGAGTAATACTTTTCTTTTGTTTTCCGCTTTAATTACTAAAATTACCTTTTTATATACTTCATATTAAATGACTGAGAACATTCTCATAGCTCTAATAAAAACATTATTAGTCCAATTTTGCATGTATTGTTGTCACTTGTTCCCGAACGTCGCGTAAACATTCTCGGTCGCAAGCGTTTTTCATTGCAGCCATATATGGTCTAGAGCCCCTTCTGTTTGCCCCGGGGTACTTGATAAGATCCAGAGACGGATATGCAATGTAATTGGCCCTGATCTGGCATCTCGCCTGCAATCGCTCTCTCACAGACGTGCCGTCGCCTCTCTCTGTCTTTTTTACAAATACTTTCATGGCAATTGCTCCGATGAACTGCTTTCGCTGGTTCCCAGACTTCATGAATTCAAGCGCCCTACGAGACTGGCATCCCGCTGTCACCCCTTTCACTGTTGAAACTGTTAAATGTAGCCGTGACTTCTAATCCAATAGCTTCATATCTCGCACCTCTCGCCTGTGGAACTCCCTCCTCTTTTCCTGTTTCCCTGATAGCTATAATGATATATAAAGAGAGGAATAACTGTTAATTTTAAATTTAAATTTTCTTTCGTGTATATAATCTATCTGAATAAATTCTTATATTTTCAACAGATTTGTGATAAAATATCTTCACATTGTGATTATAGAACAGCCAAGAAAAGTAAAATGTTGTAAGAACCTGAACCAAATTTGAAGCTGGATGATCTGGCGATTAAAGCACTTTCTATATATATATATATATATATATATATATATATATATATATATATATATATATATATATATATTCAACTGGGTAAATTGTTTTCATTTTAATTAGAATAGCATTTTTAATTCAAACATATCATCAGTCATATTACGTTGAGCAACAAATACATTCAGTGTCTTACTTTTGTAAATATCCCTATTGTATATAACGATTTATTTAAATTTCTCCAGGTTTCTACAATGTAAACCTTG